TGGCCACTGCAGTATACTGCTATTGCCAAAGGGAAGAAGAAATGTTTGTCAATTCATAAATGAATTGACAAAATGAAAGTGGAATGGAATGAAATCAGATTTAGCATTAAAGTGCAGTTTGCAGATTAAAAGGACCCATTCTTCTTCATTTATAGTGATTTGCAGATATTTGGGAGAGAAGCATATTTGCCAGCATTATCTGGGGATGTAATTACAGTTTACAAAAATCTTCAAAACATGTGCTTTTCCACGTATGGTCCTTCCTTAAGAGTTTGGGATGTATAACAATACTTTGGGGCTAAGTGTTGTATTTTTCTTAGAATAATTTGCTGGATTCTATATTCCAGGAAGCATAGATCCAGTAACTTATAAGTTTAGCTAACATTAAATTACATGTTTGATTTCATTTGTTTCTATTTCATTAAAACTAATACTGTTAAAATTATTACTCTTCAATCATATAATAAAACACTTTCCCTTCTGTCATATTACAACTTAGTAAACACATTTGAAGGTTACCAATAGAAGCTTCAGAGGCCACATGCAGCCCTAAGACTTAATCATCCACATTGGCTTCACATTTGGCTGTTGATGAAAACAAGGAATGTAAACTAAGAAATGTCTACTACATTAAAAATGTCTATTGCACCATTTTTTTTAATAATCAAAAGAAAATGCATTTAGCTCAATGTTTTCAGAATAGCCTAACAGACCACTGCACCAAATATATGGAAATCACAAGTAGATCCAAACAAAGAGTGCAGATAATTGATATTAGAATGCTGTGTCTTGTGGCAATTGCAAGTATGATAATTTAATATACATATATGTCAAATGTAGGAGTGCAACAATTTGCAAGCCTGCATTCGAAGCCTGGATGCTGCTGTGTGACAGGGTGAACGCCCATCATTTGCTCCATCTCCAGTTCTAAAGCATGTAAAGGTAAATAGATAAATAGGTACTTTGGGGGAATTCATTAACAGGGACATGAAAGGAGCCCCCCCCCCGGGCATCCTCCAGGCAATGATAATGTCACTAGTTAATCCTTTTATCACGGAAGTACTTTTTGTGCTTCCGAAATGAAAGTATAGTATAGTATAGTGCCAAGAATTATCTTGTTTAGCCTTCAAAACAAATTAGGCACCTACAAAGATAAGGAGAGGGACAATATTCAGTCCTCTATAAAAGACAAGTTACTTTTGTGCGGGATGATAGTTATGGGTAGAGCTATGTTATCTGTCTGTCTGTCTGTCTGTCTGTCTGTCTGTCTGTCTGTCTGTCTATCTATCAAATATAGACATCATCTATCTTCCTCACAGAGGGAGACTCTGGGCGGGGTACAAATAAAATACTAAAAATATAAAAATTAATTTCAAAAATTTTAAATAGAGCCAAGGATGGTTAAATTCAACATAAAAGTTAATTAAAAGGCAGCGGGAGGGCCTTCAAGAGCACTAACCAGCCCCATGGCTGCGTGCTTCACTGTGAGCTCCAAGAGAGTTGGCAAAGCCAGGTCTTCAGACATTTCCAAAAGATCAGAGGAGACTGGGGGTTTGCCTCACTTCTTGGGAGAGAAGTTGATATCAGCCCCAGATAAGTGTGTAACAGAAGCTGCATGCTATACCTTTAAGAGAATTATCGCATACTGTGTCTTCATGGAAATTCTTAGTAACATATGTTTACCTGTTTCACACAAAGGACCACTCCAACCAGCCTTGCACTGACATTCATCCGGTGCCACACATTTCCCACCAGTGTGACAGTGCTTATTACAAACCACTGAAAAACAAATTAGGGCAAGGTCAATTGTACCAATTATTAGAACCTGAATTTTGCTTTAAATTATGCTGATTGAAATCCAGGGCAGCCACTGAAAGCTTCTCAAGTACTATGTTATTAAAACTAAAATGCAAATGTCATGTAACCTCTTTGTTTCTTAATGAGCGGTATTTTCTTTTAACGCAGAAACAGATTCACACAGAAACATTTTTTAAAAAAACTTATTGTAGACATCTTTGCAGAGACGTGTTAAAAAAACTGATCAAGGACAACAGGATATTCAATCACTGATCACGTTATGTAATTAAGACAGTGTAATATATGTGTACTATTAAATTGTGACTAGTTTTAAAGGCACATTATTTCAAAGTTATTAACATATTAGTATAAGTTTTGAACAATAACGTGACCCTTAATGGCAATCCCCCAAGTCCTTTATATTCTCGCAAACATTACCATGAACAATGTTTCTCTGCAAGAGAGCTGTTACAAGTATTGAAAAAGATTGAATACATTTTATGGCGTTAATGTGGTTTTGGAAAGCACAGCATCAGATATGAGTATTAAATGTATTTATTAATATTGAAATATTGACTTACATGCTGCATACTAGATTAGATTTGATTTAAAATAATGTCAGAATTATGGTTTGTCACACAGTCAGCCAGATGCCTAGATTGGGTTTAGCATTTTTATCTACCTACTGAGTCCTTCCCAATTATTATTACTGCTGTTGTGTAAAGTTTGCTCTCTTCTTTTCTCATATTATTTATTATCTATCAAAAATGCGGAAAGATTGATAAAGTTACATACACATAATAGTATACCTACGTGTTTCACATCTTGAGCCAACAAATCCATATGCACAGGAACAGATATTGTGACTGATACAGGTCCCTCCATTTTCACACAGTGGATCACAAAGTGCTATATAAAAGAACAGAAAAAAAATGATAACTGAATTTAGAATAGATCCACTGTAATGAGGAGCCTGTTGATCTATGTTCTACCACTGACATATCTCTGCTTTGTCTATGTAATACTAAAACCTTAATTGAGCAAAATGATACATCATAGGGCAATAATGATTGAACCAAGATACCTCAAATGGGCTAGGTTTCAGAATGCTGGAACCCGTTGCTCCCATGTGAATTAAATTTGGGGAAGTCGTGGTTGCTTCAGCACCCCTGCCACTTGCCTAGCTGCTTCCCTAGAATTTGCAGTTCTGCTAGTTTCCCCATTGATGTTGTGCCTGCAAACCTCCGACAAGCAAAGTAAATGGGGAAGCCAGCAGGAATTCTAGGGACGGAGGAAAGGGGATTTCCAAAGCTCTCTGCCAGCTTCCCACAAGAAAACTCAGTGGGGAATCCAGCAGGAAGTTGGAAATCACTCTTGCACCCACTGCTTTTTTGCCCACCCTTGGTCACACGGTTTCTCTGTTTAGGGAAGGAAATATCTCTTAAATGATGTCCCCAAAAAATCATAGCTTCTCTAGTTGTCTGTAAAATCAAAGTGATGAGTGTTTCAGTCCCAAGCATTGAAGCTGAATTGTGATTAGATGGTAGGGATTAAGGCAGTAATTAATAATACTGTGCCTATAGATATAAAGTTGTGTAATATCACTGTGCAGGAAAGTTGGAAAAAAAATAATTGTGAATGTTTTTTTCCCTAAATAATCAATTTTTTTTTTCAGGACAATGGGTGATTACTAGACGTCTCTATAGATCTAGGATGAAAAATGAGATTATTAGAGTCTTGTTTCTAATTCTCATTCTTATTTACTGATGAATTTGGGAAAGTTTTTAACTTTATTCGAGTGGATCATGGTCTGGTGAAATATTTTTTTGTCAGAATGTTCTAATAAAGCTTAGTGTACAAGAAAATATATCTAAACATTACGCCTGTGCTAGTTTTCTTATCTTCTCATTATATTTTGTGTTTTAAAGAATATTGCATTTTATTAGTCAAAATAATTTGAGTTATTATTTGATATACTTTCATATAAAGAAGCTAAGCTTTCTCCTGTGATCTTTACCTGCCTGCTTCTTCTTGCTGCTTCCATACTTTTCATGTGGCAATTGATGATAATGTAAGAAAAATGTATGAAAAATATGTATAAAGTTTTCAAAAAAATATATAATGTAATTGGATAAATAACTTTCCAACTATCGGCATAGTTTATTCCCATGACCTTGACTTTCATAGGTTTTTTTTTTAAAGCTATTCTTGTTCTCATATTATAATGCTGGTAGAAAATGATAAGCAAATAAATATTCTGCAAAAGCATATTGTGATACTTTGGCTGTAATGCTGATTTATTTAGAAGTAAGTTCCACTTAATTCAAAAGAAATTATTTTAAAGTAAGGATTTTTTAAAAAATCCTGTAGAATGCTTTGGATTCAAAGACAAAACAGGTTTTAACTATAGGACAATGTGATTGCAGCACTTCTTAAACCAAATACATCTTTTCTCTGAATCATACAACAGTTACTCAATCCCAGGAGAAAACTTATAGATCAGTGGTGGCAAACCTATGGCATGGGTGCCAGAGGTGGTGCTCAGAGCCCTCTCTGTGGGCATGCACACCGTCACCTCAGTCCTAGGCCTTCAGATGGGTTTTATAAAACCTTTTCACTTTAGGCCTCTGCGTGTATATATAAAAAAAGGTTCAATCAGTCAATTTCAACTTCTTGCGGGAAAAAAAAAGATCTTGCAGAGTTGGAATTTATTGATTGAACTTTTTAGTCCCACCCAGTCTGTGGTTACCACTGCAGCCATGCCCACCCAATGGGCCACACCCACCCAGCACCCGACGATGCATAAGTGGGTTTTGGGTTGCAGTTTAGGCACTCGGTCTCTAAAAGGTTCGCCATCACTGTTATAGGTATTCCGTCTTCCACACTGCTATTAGATGAATTAGTTATTATGTGAGTTCTATGCACTATGAAACTAAGAAACAAGACACAAGATAAATTACACATATATTTCTTGCTTCTAAACAGAAGTCTTTTAAATTGGTTTTTCATATGTATTTTTTTTTTAAAAAAAATACCATGCCATGTTTACAGCTCTCTCACTTACAACTCTGCTGAGTATTTGTGGATGTTTTTTTTTTTACATTTAAAAATAAACACACTGAAATAAGATCCATTTCAATATATGTGCATGACTGAACTTATAGTGCCTGGAATGAAGCAACTTGTAAAATAATTAAGCTTGTTACTTTGGATGTTCTCCAATGAAGGTAAACCAGTCTTCAGTTTCTGAAGTTACTTGAATAAATAACCAACCTATTCTAAATACATCTCATTAGAGAGTTTAATAAAATTACTGATCACAGGCACTGCTATTGTCACAATCTCACAATTTAAAATAGATTTATATTGTATGGGAATGGTGCTTGGAGAATAGTAGCCAAAATAAATTATTTATCAATGTCTAGCATAAGTATTTATTCATTAGATTTATGTGCCGCCCATTTTGTCTGGAGGTGAGTAATTGCTAAGTTTGTGCAAAGCTTCCATTCAAACATTTAATTTTTAAGATGATTGGATGAAATTACTTCTTTGAAATGAATAATCAAATCAGTTCCATTCATTGTCTTTCAGTCACTCAGAGACCTGATGGACTTCTGCACATGTACATACACCCTTGAACTGAATCATCAGATTGCAAATTTGAATCAAATCTACTCTTTGCATCAAAGTACAAATTCAAACTGAATCCTAATTTATTAGCAGATGTATGAAGCTGCATAATCAAGAATGTTTCATGTTTTGAGCCAGTGAAAAAGGCTGTACACATTAACTATATGGAACAATACAAGGAATTATAATAGATTATAAAGAGGTTGGACAAATGGTAGCAAACTAAATTGCAATTTTTGTCTAACAGAAACTGATTTTCCCAGTGGTTTGAGCAATATAAGTATATTCCATTACAGTATTCTAAGAGTCATATTAGGCATACAAATGAGGGCCCGTTCTATTTGATGAAAACATTTCTAAGTATGACTTAAATTGTGGCTAGTGTGTTCTAGTTAGCTACTAACAGTTCCCAGCAAGTAGACACCAAAAATAAAACTGCCATTTGGGCCAGAGAGAGTGAAAATGAAACTATGCTCCCTCATCTAGCTGCTGCCTGCCATTGTTTGCCTTAGTGTTACCTGTGGAAAACAGATTGCTCACAGGATCAGCTTTTGATTAAGTACATCAGATGCCTGGGGCTTGAAATTACCCTCTTGTTTCCTCTCTGCACCACAAAAATTTTTGTGGGTACTAGGAAAGTGTGGGAGAAATACTGTTGGCTATTTCAAGAACACACTCTTTGGGAAAAGTGAAGAAGAGAAAATATTCTGGGACTGAACAGACCAAAGCTAAATATGGTAGGAAAGAACCAGTAGATTATTGCAGGAAAGAATGGGAGATTAATGATTGGCTGCCCTTTCATTCACATTACAAACTATATAAGGAAATTAAAATGGTGTAAAGGTTAAGGTACCAAGGTACAAAGCAGGAGACCATGAATTCAAGTCCTACCGTATCCATGGAAGCCAGCTGGGTGCTTTGGGTAGTCATTCTCTCTTAACCCAAGCCTTCTTTCAGGATTGTTGTTATGGAGAAAATAGGAGGAGGAAGTGTGCTGGATACGTTGGGTTATTTGTAAAAATAATAAAGGCAGGATACGAATGAATGAATGAATGATCTCTAATATGTTTTTAGATTATCCTAGGCTTCTTGTCCAGGAGGATTATTATTATGTGCATGCTGAGATTGTCCAATCAAGAACAATCTAGAATTTCATTTCTTCGTTGACAGCCATGAAGTAGTCTCTATTAGTACCTGGCCCAGCATATTCTGTTTGGATGAGACTGATAATCTGAAAATGCAGGATAACTATGTGAAACCAATGTCATAGATAGTTTTAGATGGGTTCAAGTCATTGTCAAAAATACCACATGAAGAGTAGTTTATATAGGGATGTGCCCAAGTTACATAAGATCTTATTTATTTATTTCAATTAGTTAGCACAACTTGGAAATAAGCAATGTTTCCTCAGATGAAAGATGTTTCTCCCTGCCTGTAGGAGGCACTTCTAAGATGACCTGAATGCAGTGGTGGGATTCAGCCAGTTCACACCAGTTCAGCAGAACCGGTAGCTAATTTTTTGTTGCCGAGACCCAGAATGGACTTCCAGAAGCGGCATCCACACAGAGAACCGGTTGTTCACCTATTTGAATCCCACCACTGCCTGAATGATGTATCTACCAATTATGGGCCTGTCTCATAAATGTAATTTCTGGGAGAGATGATTGAGAAGGTAGTCGTCTTGCCCTCCAGATGCTTATGAGGATTCTAATTATCTGAATCTAATTCAATCAGGCTTTTAGCCAAACAGAAGCTGCTTTGATTATGTTTGGGGAAATGCTAAGTGCCTTGGAATTCTCAAGTGTTCGTTGTTATCAGCCACAATATTCTTCTCCTTCAATTGGGGGATTGGTCTTTGGGAACACAGATTTACAATGGCTCAGTCTGATGCTAGGAGTTGACATAATGAAATAATTGCTCGACACTTAGGCTGGTGACCTGTGGTGTTCCACAGGGTTGCATCTTATCTTGCATCTTATTCATTAAGCAGCTGGAGAAGGTCATGAAGAGATTTAGAGTGTGGTGTCATCAGTATTGCTTCTTATCAGTTAACTGAAAGAGCAATCAATATGTTAAGCATTGCCTAAATCTGATAATTGGGAGGATAAGGGAGAACCTACTCAATTAAAACCAGAGAAACCAAGGTACTTTTGGTAAATAGGAAAAGAAGTCTTGGAGATGGTGAAACTCTCCCTCTGAAAAAGCAAATTCACAATATAAGAGTGCTGGCGGGCTTCTAGGCTGAATAAATTTAGTGTTGGTTCTTAAAGCCTTGGTTCCACTTTATTGGCATTACTACTACACATTCTATGTGTAATAGTAATGCCAATTTTATTTTTAAAAATGTGCAGAAACAGCAGCTTGTACAAATTGTACCAGCTAAGCTGCCAACCTGTACAAGGTACAGAACTATATACTACTGGTACTGCAAGATCAACAGTTGCTTACTGAGCACACATGTAGGGCCTATTATAGAGATTAACTTTCCCATGATGAAGCTGTTCAGCTATTGAGATTTGTACACGAAACCCTTTCGAGTATCACCCCCTCCCCAAACCGTTATTTCTCGTACCTATAATAGGACCTTTTCTTGTATTGTTCTCAGATATGGAACTGTTGGATTTTATATTTTCCTTCCAATTTCTCAGCATTTAGAACATCTGTAAAATATCCCTCTTTTGCTAAGTTCGTAATTGCTAATTGATTTTAGTATTAATTTTACTATTAATTTTACTTTATGCTTTATTCTTATTATTTAGCCACCTTGAATATTCACTAGAATAGAAAGGCAAGGCACAAATCAAAACAACAAATGAATAACATTTACTCTAGTGATAAATATTTATCCTAATTTAGTCTTCTTTTGCGGAAAGTAGTTATAATTCTTATATTTGTATATTTAGATAGTTGATTATCAAAACCTACCATAGAATACTTCTTTTCAGGAGGATGAAGAAGCATAAATAAAATACAATTATTTTCTTTGCATTTATAATAAAAATGGGTTTTCTTGATTATCAGAATTAGTTGTGGATTATAATATAATTAGTCTATATGTCTTCCCATCCACTGGCCTGGCAAAGAATCCTCATTTATTTAGACAATAGTTCTTTGAAGTCCTCATACATCAAGAATTGATTTATAAATTTATAGTATTAATTTTAGAATTTGATTCCATTTTGTAATTTGTTTTGTATCACTATTTTTATCTAGAAAAATATTATTAAGTCAAACTTATGATCCTCCTGATTTGCAATTTCTGGAACACAAAGCTAAGCAGGAAATTGTCAGAGGGATAAGGGTGTGTAAGAGAAAAACCTGAGCTAAAAAATTACACATGTTTGTGTTTACTAGTACAGGGTTACTAGCACAGGATGCATGAAATTACTAAGGAAAAAAAATCTGAATTGTAACTTGGAAGTTTTTACCTCAGGAAATGAATTCATTTTTATGGGCCTAGTACATTTCATATGGCAAAGAACAGTAGGATATGTGGTATGAGAAATTATTGAAAATCTTGAGTTGAAATCTGATGGTTGTTTATTATTCTATGTCGAATATAAGTGGTAAATTTTAAGGGGAAAATGTATAGGCATAAGTATTTACAAAATGTGTTTGATAGATTTGACACTAATGTGTCAAAGAAGCAAACTTAGCATTCCTTAGTCTTGTCAATTGCCATCTTGTTTAACACTGACTATATTGTTAAGCGATAAATATATATCATGTCAAGTGTTTTTTATATACAGACTGATGTATTGTATATTCCCAATAAATGGATTTAGATTTAGGCAAATTTATTGGATAAGCAAGTTGAAAATATAGAAGCATGTGGAAAACAATTAAAGTCTAACCCTAACAACAGAAGAAAGTCATTTTGCCAAATTATTAGACAGGTTTCAGCACTGTGATCCTTTAAAACATTTCGTTCATTTTTTAATTTAACCAGCCAAATTAACATTCTCCCTCAGAAATATGCACTGTGGTTATGTGCCCTGAAGTCATGTACAGTATTTTAAATGATAGACTAATTTTCTCTTCAGCGTTTTACCGATAGAATTTAAAAGCAAAGTTTTTGCTTTTAAGTCATACATATTACCTTAATACAAAATTATGGTACATTGTACTACTTTCATTTATGCCATACTCTTTTAATTGACAGATATTCCATTTCTAGCCAGATCATATAATTCTATAGCTAATATGCTGAAACTCCTAAATTTTGAAGAATTCAGCTTTTCCTCCCTCATATACGTTTGTCCAATTTGCTACCCTTAAATAATTGTCTCATGTACTACTTTTCATACTATAATACTATTTATATAATACTATTACATGATCCATGAGACTGAAAATAAAAAAAACCCAGATACCTGACACTGATATATTTTGTATTTTATGCAATACTAGTTACTGAACAGGCATATTTCACTTTTTATCTACAAAGCTGTGTTCCGTTTTTAAAAAAAATTTCAAAGTAAATAACTTTTTATTAATATCATGTAAGTGAATATACCAAACTATATACAGTATTCACATTCTCCATCTTAACAATGCTGTTTTCATCAAGGTAAAAAAATATGAAATAATGTTTCCTAAATATAACTAAAAAAAATCTACAAGAATATCTCTCATCTTTGACTATAAGTGACACTCTCAAGGTACAATGTATTTATATTTAACAATTATAGGTATATATTTATTGCTAATATGGGAATAGCATGAGAAAGTTTGAGAAGACTGACATCAAAACTTAAATTATTCACTAGATTTTTCAAAGTCTTCTGGTCATTTCTTTTCCTATAGTTTCTAACACAAGTGTTGGAATAATTTTTTAAATGTAGTAACATATGTGGTGTTCCAGGCTACATATGTTTAACAGGACATTTTAATATTCTCAATACCCCCAAGAACTAATCATGAATTGATGTAGAGAGTGCTAGTAATCTCTCCTCCCCTTTCTCTGCCCCCTCAAAAAATTCTTACCATAACACTGTATTCCATCGCCACTGTATCCAAAGGGGCAGGGTCCACATTTGAATGCCTGATCCTTTGTTGATTCACAGGGCACACCAGGGAAACATGGCATATGTGCACAGTTGAGTTGCTTATTAAGTGATCTCCAGTCAATTGCCAAATGGTTTACACCTGAGGCATAAGGCTTTCTGAATGAAGCAGTCCTTCCTGAAATTCTTGACTGCACAGAGCTCTCTAGTGCCTGGCTACGCTGATTTACACGAAGAGAAAATGATGTTTTCCAATGGAAAGAAGACAGTGTGGTCCATACGGACTGTCTCAAATGCTTTGCTTTAGAACCATGGTCAGAATTAGTCTGGGTAGCTGAAATCCCAAGATATTTTCCAGAAGGTGTCAGATCAGTTGAGGTATGGCTCTGTTGAATAGCATGCAGCTTTGTGCCCATGTCTTCTTGAGCGGAGGTATTCCTTGTGATATCTGCTTGAATCTGTAGTTCATAGTCTGAGAGTATTTTAGCAGCTCCTGCTTCATTTTTTTGAAGAAGGGCTCCCTGTGTGCCATTTTTCACTTTGCTGAATGGAAAGGTTTTTCCTATAGATGGTATAGGAGACAGAGGCACCACTTTTTCTTTGAGTGGAGATTGGATATCAATAGTTAAGGGATATCTTGCTATATGAAAGATTGTTTCTAATTTTGGAATATGATCTTGTGAAGATGCAGAATCAATATCTTGTAAATTCTTTATAACACCTTGGGTAAGGGAGATGTTGGCTTCCCCAGGGACTTTCACAGTTACATCAGACAAACGTTTGGCAGAACTTGACACTAAATGAAAAAAGGTGGATCAGCACAAAATATTTTATATTTTCTTGTGACATTCGATAGACAGACAAACAGACAGATGATAAATATGATAAATATTTTCTGTCGTATGTCATGACAGTCGCAAGTCAAGTTACACATGTGACCAACCGGATTATATGATTATTATTTTTTTGCAACTACCATTAAGTGAACGCAATGGTCATTAAGCAAACACCGTGATCATTGAATGAACACATTGTCAGCAAGGGGCGTTTTTTTGCAGGGAACTGGAAGTAAATGTTGATTTCTGGCAAAAAAACCCAACAACATTGTAAATGGTGATCATGTGATTGTGGGATGCTGCAAACAGCCATAAATGCAGATCGATTGCCGAGCATCAAAATAAGATCATATGATTGCAGGAGGGTGGCCTTCGAACTTTGAATTGGGGTCATAAGTACATTTTGGGGAGAATGATATAATTTCAAATGGTCAGTAAGCAAATAGTCATAAGTCAAGCACTACCTGTATAAATCCTTCCCCTTTCTGGGCTGGATATAGACCTTCATTTAGTTTTCCACAATGCCCTTAACTTTATTTCTTGCAGTGTCTTGACATACCATTGTTCTGGGTCAGAGAAGAGATTCCACCGAAGGACATTTTATTTGAGATCTCAGAATAGGAGGACCCAGTTGGCAATTCAGTTTGGACTTTTTAATATAAATTAGCACTTTAAAAAACACACACACACAAATCAGAACAGCTTAGGCGTCTGAATCATTATTGGTGAGAAATGTGTGCAATTTGCATCTGAATGAAAACTGATCTAATATCAGTTTTTTGCAGCAAAAATTCCCCAAATAAAGTTGAATTATCATTTTAAATTCCCAGTTCTCCAAATGTGCCAGGTTACAAGAACATTTGAAAAAAACAAACAAAAAGGAAAAAGGAAAAAGACCTGTTAGGGAAAACAGTTTGCAAAACAGAAAAAAGGCAAACATTTATATTCTATTTTTTGCTAAGGTGAGCACTGAAGGTGGCTCACAAAGTTTTAAAATATCATAAATAAAATATACCATAAAAACAGTACAAAATATACAAAATGCTGCTAACACTAAAATCAGCTATTAAGAGGAGATATTTCTCTTCTCGGATGTTCTAAATGGTGAGAGACTGAAGCCAAATTGCTCCACAAAAGAACGCATTATGTAGCCCAAAAACAATTCCTGCATTGAGAATAATGCAGAAGACAGTTTTCACCCATCTATAAAATAGATGCACTGACAGCATAAACACCGTCAAGAGGTAAATGTTAATGGCTGAAGAAGTTGGTAACAATAGAGACAGTTCTTCAGTCAGTTAGATTTTAATGACCAATTAGCACCTTAATAAATAAGATCTTCTATTTAATATGTTAGGGAAATTTTTTATCTCAAATAGGTTTGATAAGAATACTGCTACAGTTTTAACTTAAACCTTCAATTGTGATTATCTGCAGAGAAACCTGGTGCCACAATTAAACTTCCCTGAAGCAATCCACAAGACTCTCTTCCAACTCTGTTCTCACCCTATCTCAAAGCTTGGAGGAAAAGCCAGCTCTTCACCACCCAGAATGTCATTTCTACAAGAGACTGCTGTATTTTCCAGATAAGATATGTATCTTAAATATATTTGTCAGTTAGAAATTCTGACTATTCCTCTAAAGTTTGAAAATGTAACTTGGAAGGCCCTTTCTATCCACTCCTGATTTTGAAATTATGTTCCCAACTAAAGAACCTCACATGGCTAAGTTCCTCTTCAAAGGGACATTCAATGTATCAGCTAATTCTTTCCTACACAATACCTTCCTCAAATTAATACTGAGAACCAGTACTGCAACAAGATACTGTAAAGTCCTAATCAAAGTCAGTTGTTCTGATGATAAGTTCAGAATTGTCCTATAGTAGTAGTAGTAGTATCACCAATTGGAATCTTCTATTTCTTTCCCAATTTCCTACCCAAGTTATTGAGTTTTAAATTTTGGACTCATTTAAAATATTTATATACCACTCTATATCATATTCTCAGAGAAACCTACAGTATCATCTTCCACTGAATGCATAATTAATACATTCCCAAATGGGGTTGCATTGAACTAGTCATACAGTAGTGTAATAGGATCTTTTTCACTTTGCTTGCCAATATAAGTTTCTAAGGAGTTTTTGAATTAATGAATAAAATATCCAAATAACTGGGTGATAGAAGTATCTGTTTAAAACAGCAAGTGGCAGAAAATGGTCTCCTACTTTCTCTTCCATTTAATTTTATACTGTACTTTTGCTGGCAAGGATTATCACATTATTTAAAATGCTACATAATTTACAGAGGCTGAGAGGAAAGTGGGTTTTACAAGTAGAGATTAGAATCAAAGCAGTATTTTTTTAAAATGTCATATTTTTTTTATTAAACTGTGAAGAAGGGTTAACACTGAAAGGTCGCCCGAGATCAACAGCTTTTTCTTTTTCTTTTATTTCAAATAGTCTTCAATATCTTAAGATGTATCATCCATTATCAACGGAAGAAGCAGAAGTGGTTATCCCTGCCCCAATGTGCTACCATATAATGGAAGAAGATGGAAAATAATGGTGACAGCATAAAATGCTCAAGGTCAAAATGAAATCTGCATGCCCCCCACAAAGCAACATTATTTTGTATAGGCCTGTCAGAATAAATTAATTAATGTACTTGTATATATGAATAGATTAAAAAAAAATCAGATGCACATTGGATATATTCCTGTCTTTAACTCTTGCATAATAAGGAAGAGAAACATTTGCTTGGCATTTTCCTTCTAATATAAGAGTTTTGTGGATCTTTTGGAATGCACAAAGCTCTGTGCATTTAGGAAACAATAGAATGTAAGGGCCAGGCCAAGAACAGTTATAAAGCAGTTATACAGCATGCTTTAAAGCAGGGGTGTCGAACTGCTGGCCCACGGGCCAGATGTGTCATTCCAAAACCGCGCCCACCCCATTGCTGGCAATGGAAAAAAAGTCACGATATGTCGCGACACGTCATTTGACGTCGCGAGTTTGACACCCGTTTTAAAGAGATTCTGGCAAAGGCCAGTGACATGAAGGAAAAAAACCCTGAGGTGTGTAATTTGTACTTTTGTTCTTGAGGCTCTCTCTCTCTCCCCATCAAGGCAGCATCCTTGACTTAACAACCATTCATTTAGTGACCATTCAAAGTTACAATGGCACTGAAAAAAGTGACTTATGACCATTTTTCACACGTATGACCATTGCATCATCCCCATGGTCACGTGATCAAAATTCAGATGCTTGGCAAATGGCAACTATTTATGATGGTTGCAGTGTCCCAGTGTCACCTGATCACCTTTTGCAACTTTCTGACAAAGTCAATGGGTAAGCCAGATTCACTTAACAACCTTGTTATTAACTTAACAACTGCACTAATTCACTTAACACCTGTGACAAGGGGCAAAACTTACTTAACAACTCTCTTGCAAAGGAAATTTTGGGTCCAGTTGTGGTTTTTAAGATAAGAACTATCAGTATATTTCCCTGGTAATGAAAGGAGAAGAATTGCGGGTCAACAGTGGCTGTCATAATATCTGCTTTTGTTGCCCTCATGGCTTGGTTGGTTTATGATCTTGCACATGTAAGGAATGAGTTGTTCTACTACTTGCCCAGCAATCTTTGGTGAAGAGCCTTGTCCCTTTTGGATACCTTCTGAGCAGCTATAATAGTCAGTGAGAATTAACACACAAGACAAAAGATGCCAGCCTGCCTGTTTTATAATGTTGCTGTTAGAGGGTAGTTTCATAATATATAGCCAATAGTCCTTCAAGTCATTGTATTTAAGCATCTGTTTACTTAATTGTATGAATATCTGCTTGCCGGGAATTCAAATTGATTTTTATCAGCCTTTTCATTATTTGCTGGGACAGAAAATTGAATGATTAGATACCTGTTCTTCATCACCTCCAGATTAAATTACCATAACATTTTTTCCACAGAGCTGGAAAAGCATTCTGAATATCAGCCCATATGAAATACTGAAGCCTGATTTTGATACTTACCCTTAAATGTATAATTACTTTAGAGACAAGATATTTAAATTGCTCCCTCCTTGCCTTTAAACCTGTCAACATCAATCTTTGAAGGACACCTTACTCTGTGTTCTACCACTGTCTGAAGTGTCAGCCCTGTCTGGGGATCTTTGATACAGTTTTCATTGTTATGATTGCTGGAATTTTACTAGAATTTTAGTTCATACATTTTTTTCATGTTAATTGCAGCTTTTTAAAAAATATTTTATTGGGTTATGGTTCCATGATAATTTTTAATATTTTTATTTAAATCAATAATTTAAATAATTAAATTGCATTGAGCCAGTTTGATGTAGTGGTTCAGGGTGCTGACCTAGAAACCAGAAGATGGTGAGTTCTAGTCCCAGTTTAGGCATGAAAACTGGCTGAATGATTTTGGACCAGTCACTCTTTTTCAGTTATACCCATCTCAAAGGGTTGCTGTTGTTGGGAAAACAGGTGGAAGAAGTATTAGGTATGTTGAATTACTTATAAAGTAATAAAGGCACGATAATAATCTAATAATTTTTTTTTTCAAAAAATTACATTTGATCAGTTTTATATTGTATGAAAATATAACATTGTTTTGTGATTGTTGGGTATATGTTTTGTATGTATGTATGTATGTATGTATGTATATATGTATGTGTATATATATATATATATATATATATATATATATATATATATATATATAAAACAATTCATATATAGAGAGTTTATATTAATGTTTCCTAATGCATGTTATTAATATACATTCCTTATAGATGTTTAATGTAATTTTCCTTGATGTTCTCTTTTTTTCCTATCTATGTGCATAACCCTCAAACTATTTTCTTATGGATAAGCAGCACAATACAAGGTGCACAAAACAATTAAGAAGTAATTAGCAAAAGAAATACAAGAAAAAGATCTTAGTTTATATTAACATCATCCCCTATTTCAAAACTTGGAAAGCCATGCTTGCTTTCATCTTGTCCATATTCTCATTTGGACATGCTTTGCACATGGCATAACAATGTTATTATGCTGTGTGTGAAGCAATGTATGAAGGGTATATTTATTCTTCCCTCGTATATTTGGGATTCAGTCTTCATTCATTCTTTTAACATTACAATAAAACCTGAACATATTGATTTTATTCTTGTTACTCAATTTTGTATTTAGCCTATGCCATTGTAAGCCACCTAGAACAGACATGTCAAACATAAGGCCCCGGGGCCAGATGCGGCCTGCGAAGTGGTTTCATGCGGCCTGCGAAGCCATCCTGGAAACAGTGAGGGAACGGCCCCCACTGCCTTGGCCCTGGCCCTGGCCAGCCAGGAGCCAATGTACAATTTTGTGGTGGCCATCTTGGCACTTGCCCCGGTGGACCATGCCTTGGCACTTGCCCTGGTCCCACCCCCTTGTTACATGCAAATAAAACCTCAGATCTGTCCCACTCCTGCCCAGGCCCCCACAGGCACCCTTGACGTGAATGTAGAACTGGCCATGCCCACCCAGTAGGCCACACCCACTCCATCCACACCCACCCAGTAGGCTGCACCCACTCTGGCCACACCAACCC